CAGCTAAGGGGACCCCTCTCCCAGCTCCTCACCTCCCTGAAGTGAGACTCCTCTTGTGTGAAGCACAAGCTGCTGCAGAAGCTAGAGCTGATCATCAGCCCGGGTCCAGCAGCAGCTGAGGATGGGGGCATGGGCAAGGAAGGGGCTCCTGGCCCCTGAGCCGGCCTCTCACCACCATCACGGGCGGGGGTCGCTCCAGTCTGGGTCTCTGGTGGCACAACCCCTTAGCATGTCCCCTGGGAGGCACTATCACTGGGCCACCAAGCACAAAGCACCTGGACAACTACCTGGTACCTTGCATTGAGCAGTGCCGTGGGAGGGGGGACAGCACCAAGTCCTCACCTCAGCACCGCAGTACCCCAACCTTCCTGCCTGTGGGCTGTGAAAGCTCCTGTCCTCCGTGTCACTGATACCCACCCACCTGTCATCGACTTTACTCACTCCCCTTGATCTCCATGTAGAAATAGGTGTTCCCTGTGGGAAGGTTCCCTTGTCCCCAGAGGACTAAAGCTACAAAGCAAGGAGTTCCATAGCTGAAAGAAACTCAAGCACGGAGTCATAGGTCAGCTTTACTTTGTGCAGCAAGAAACATTTTAATACAATTCTTGCCAAGCGACAAGGAAACAAACATGCGGCCTCTGAGCACCTTAACTCCTGAAGGGTGAAACAACGAGGGCACAGAAGGCCCAAGGAAGTGTGTGCGCTGTGGCGTGGCACTCCTGGGCTTCAGCCTCCCTCTCCTGCTAGGATGAACGGGGATCGGCAGCACGCATGCGCTCCATGTTCTGCAAGACTCTGGAAAGCTGGCTCAGGAAGGGGGCGAACACTGCCTGGAGGCCGCCTGCGTCCAGGGCGACCCATCTCCTGGGAGAGAGAGGGGAAACTGCTCCAGGTCAGGACTCTCAGCCCTGTCAGGGACCCCGCCCTGTGCATCAACCTCTCCCACTACACTCAGCGCCCCTCACGTGCAGGGCCCCCCAAGCGCAGTGCCCCCTGCACTCAGCTCCACCCACAATCAGTGCCTGCCATGTTCAGCGGCCACCATGAGCAGTGCCCCCTGCATTCAGCGCCCTAAACACCCAGTGCTCCACGTGCTGGCCGCCCTCTGCGCCCTGCGGCCTCACACAGGCAGGAAGCCGCGGTCCACCATCATTCGGCTATGGTGCTCCTCAGAGGGTGTCCACGTGCTGGCCGCCCTCTGCACCCTGCAGCCTCACACAGGCAGGAAGCCGCGGTCCACCATCATCCGGCTATGGTGCTCCTCAGAGGGTGTCAGGAACCTTCGCGTGATCTCCGCTAATGTGGGGAACAGAAAGGCACCCTGAGGGTGCTGAGGAGCCAGGTTAAGGCGTGATGCCCTATCTACCGACTGGGCCCTGCCCACCATGCCCTCGGTCATGACCTGTCCCGTGAGGTCCAGTCCAGTCCCGGGCAGCTCTCGGGCTGTCCCCACCCTACCCGGATCCCCTCCCTTGTCCCTTTTGCCCAGGACCCTAGCCCTGCTCCTGTCCCCCGCAGCCACCATGGGCCCTGTGCGGCTACAGCCCTGGCCCCAACCTCCCCTCTGCTGCCCTATGACCCTGTTCCCTCCGACGTTCCAGGCCATAGTGACCGCTTCCCAAAGGATACAGCACATACACATGCAACCCCAGCCTTCAGACCACAAGGCCAGAATGCCCGCAGGTCCACGGCCCGGGAGGCATCTGCACAACACACCTGACTACAGGAGCACAGGCGCCTCCTTCTCCAGCCCCAGTGACTACACCTGCACCACTCGGGTGTCCAGCGCCATCCTGGTCACCTCCGTGGCCCTCCGCACCACCAGCACAACCGTCAGGGGCCTGCATGGCTGTCGGGCCTCTTCTCTCGGTGCCCCCCTGGATCCAGAACTCCTGGCACAGGCTCCTGCTGAGGAAGGAGGAGTCTGCAAAGCTCCGCCCCTTCCCCCCATCCCCCCAACACACCGGGAGAAATCTGTGGCGCCTTTGCAAACATGCCCACACCTAGGAGATGCCTGCCAAGCCAGATGGTATGGTGGCCTGCAAGCCTCTTGTGTTGCCAGGCACCCTGCTGGGCCTTGCCTTGTACCAATGGATCCCTAACCATCAGGTCTCCTTCAGGGTCACCCAGCCCTAAGTCCCAACGACTCCTTTCTGCTACAGGGGCACTGAATGTGTCCAGAGGCAGGACTCTGTACCAGGGAAGTCTGGGGACCCAATACAGCCCTGGGGCGGGACTGGGGACATTCCTTGCCTGAGACCTGGACACCTCGGTAAGCTGCTGGACCCTCGACTCCCACTGGGGAAGCCCGGCTGTGGGCGCTGTGCTGGCAGAATCCCTGACGCTCCCGTAGCTCCTGAAACCCTCCCGCCCACCCCACCCCCACCGAATTCTGGAGGAGGAGTTGGCTCTGGGCAAGCCCAGGCTGACCCAGCTGAGTCCCCAGCCCAGTCCCAGGAGCTCCTGGGCCGGGAACCATGCGCTGTCTGGGGTGCTGCTCCCTAGCGGGGCTCACACTGGGGGTGTGCTCAGGACGCCCAGAGAGAAAGCCCTCCAGAGGCCAGCAGCTCTCCATGACCTCCAAGGGATCAGCAGGCCCACACATCTCGAACCCTTTGGTGTAAAGCTGGGCCCTTCAAAAGTCCGCATCAGGGGGACCCGTGCCAGCCTCGTCCCCTTCTTCTAAGGGAGAACACTATTCGGGCCACATCTCTGGGAAAGGGGTCCAGTAAACTCTGCAGAACTCGGAACACACCATCATCCACACCCAGGTAAGAGATGAAGCTAAGCTGGCCTCAGGTCACCTAGAAGGTGGCTAGGACAATTTGAAGGGAATCAGCTGCAGGGCAATGAGAGACTGGCAGGCTGTGGAGAGAAGACAGGAGAAGGGAGAACGTGGGCAGTGAGGGAACAGTGAGGCTGGTCAGGGCAAGCTCGGGCTGACGCTGCAGGACTGTGCTGCAAATGCAACCAACCTCGCACGGGAAGCACTAGAAGAAAACCGCGTCTCTACTAAACATGTACGGGGTACACGATAGAAGGACAAAATGCCATAGCGCTTACACTGCATTAAAATTGTAAGTAATCTAGAGATTCCTAAAACTATTTGCAGAGGGGGCATGCCAATGCTACATTTGGTGCAAGGGCTCTGAGTTCATGGCGGTTCAGGTTCAGGGACCTGATCCCAAGCCTGGAGTAGCTCCCCGTGGATGCTGAGTCATGACTGTATTGGTTTGAAGCCCAGAAATTCAAGAACATCCTGAGTATCTGGCAAAGAGTTCCTTATTTAACTATCACTCTCAAATTTGTTCGCCTGGGCCCCATCGTTTCATAGTCAAAATTGTTAAACATTGTGACCGACGTGACAGAAACATATCTTTGTCACGTGCCAAACAAGTCTTTTCTGACTGAGACACATGAAGGCTGTGACTGGCAGTGCTTAGGCCAGGACTGGCAGTGTGGAGGGCACTATTTAACCAGCACCTCCCATGGGTGGGGCTTTTGTGCTCATATGTGAGTAGTCGGAAGGAACAGAAGAAAAACATCTAATGTAACCCAATGAATCACTGAAGCGAGCTACCAGCTGCCCGCTGGAGAGACAGCTTTCAAGGAAGGTCCAGCACTGTTGCAGAATTTGGAAAAGACCGCTTTGCAGAAGCAGCTCAAAGCCACAGACACAAAGGGAGCTGTGTGGCGTCAGCCCCCTGGTGTCTAGCCTTGGCCCTGAGACTCGGTGACTTCAGGGAGTGCCCAGGACAACAGTGATCACCGCATCAAGCAGAGGTGCCAATTAGAAGAACTTTCCCGGGAAAAATTCAGCCTCTAGTGAATAGTACCGAATAACTACAACTTCTGCAAAGTAGTTCACTTGGGAACTAATTAGAAGTTTTTCTCCACAAGTAATGAATCACTTTCTTAACTGTTCTGTTGACAAATGTAATACATGCTAACTGTAATCACACACACACACACACACACACACACACACACACACACACGAGTTTGGAAAGGAAAAGCCAGATGATTTCACACACATCTGTCATCACACGACTCAGAGGGTGGAGGCAGGAGGATCCCAGTGAGTTCAAGGCCAACCTGGGCTACAAAGTGACTTCAAGGCCAGCCAAAAGTGCATAGTGGAGGAACAAAGAAAGAAAGTAAAACTCAACTGCTATTTCATCATTAAAAGTAACCACACTGAAAGTGTGGCATATTTGTAGATAAATAAGCCAATTCCTGCTTACTACTTTAAACAACGATTGGAACGTGATACCCAAGGCATGTTTTTGGTTATCATCATTCTATTGTTAGTGGTTTAGGAAAGACTTCAGCTATCCAGATGGCCAAATAAGTTCCCGGAAATTTTCTTTCAGTATGTTTGGTTTGATCCTACATATTTCGTGAACACGTTGTAAACCATTCATATACAAAGAACCCTTCCTGTGTATAGTAGTCCTTTAGACACTTCTTTCATGCTTCTACTGAGATACACAACAAGAGCTGAACAAGTCCGTGTTGATCGCCCATCCTGTTTCGATTCACTCAACAGTGATTATTCGCATCTCAAACTTACCCAAGAGCGGCTGTTCCGGACACACCCCTGGGTGGGCACCACCAGGAAGCTGCACTCCTGACTGCACGCCCGGGCCTGGAGAGTATGGGGCTGGGCTTGGCCACAGCCACTTCCTCCCCAAGAACCCGGTTGGGGGGCATTGGTTGGAGGCAGGGACCATGGGCCAGCACAGCGCCCAAGGCCTGGCTCCCCCTGTGGGCGTTACAGGTCCAGCAGCTCCAAGAGGCGTCCAGATCCCAGACAGGGCCTCTTCCCCACCACGCCCAGCCCCGTCCCGTCCTGCACAGTCCAGCACCAGGCATTCACACAAGAAACGGCTTTGATGCTCCTAACCTGCCAGGCCTTGTCCTGTGCCATCCCACCAAGTGGCTCCGGAGGGCCCCATAGATTTTGCCACTACAGAGCATGACCTCTGGAACTCCTCAGTGCCCGGTAACCCAAGGGCATCTCTGGACCCAAGGGCTGAGCCAGCTTGGAGGGGACCCCACGCCTGAAGGTCCATTGCGCATGGGCACTGGGCGTGGGGGGGGGCGTTCTGGACGGGGCTCTGTGAGGAAAGCCCCGTTGCCTGGCAACCAAAGAGCAGTTTAGGCCTGAAGGCCAGTTTGGCGGGAAATCCGCTCGCGCGCGCATGAGCGCACGCACACGTACGCACGCACACACGCACACATACACGAGAGCCACCTTGCGCAGGCGCTATAGGCATCACCAGGTGCATTGTGGGCGGTGAAAGGGGCGGAGCTTCACAGAGGCCTACTTGATCCGGTATAAATAATCCAGGCAGCGTCTGAGGAAAAAGGTCCGGCAGCCATGCAGTCCTCTGGCGGTGCTGAGGGCGGAGCAGACGGCCACAGGAGTGACCAGGGTGGCGCAGGTGTCTCCGGGGACGAGGGAGCCTACGCTGCAACCATTTTGCGGATCGTCCAGATACCCCATGGCCCGTGGCCCTTTGGGGACATTGTGCTCTTGGTCAGCAGGACAGGGACCGGTCTACATGAATTGTATCCTTCAGGACGGGGCCTTGGTTGGGGGACGGGGAGGCGTGGGGAGCGGAGCCAGAGACGCGCAAGACCCACGGTGGACGCGGGGACAGGAGAGGGGATGGGGTCCCGGGCGGAGGGGCCGCGTGGACAGGCACAGCCCGGGCGAAGGGGGCGAGGGAGGGGAGCCACGTGGGTGAGCACAGCCTGAGAGCTCCCGGGCCTGGACTGGACCGGACAGATCGGAACTGGACAGGAGGGGACAGAGGACCTGGCGGGCCGGGAGTGGACAGTAGCGCATCAGGCCTTAACCTCTCACCACAGCAAGGTCAGGGTGCCTTTCTGGTCCTCCCTGGAGGCTGAGGTCAGCCTAAGGTACCTGGCTGATTTCGGGGAGAGCCCTGACCTTCACCGGGTGCTCACCAGGGACCGCAGCGTCCTGACTGTGTGAGGCCGCGGGGCACGGTGGGCGCAGATGGCGGTGGGGGGGGGATGAGTTTGCGGTCTCTCTGAGTGCAGGAGGTGCTGAGTGTGGGCAGTGCAGAATGTCGGGGTCCCTGAGTATGGAGGAAGCTGAATTTGGGGGTGCTGACCAGGCTCCGAGTCCTGACCCGGAGCGATTGTCCCTTGTCTCGCAGGAGATGGGTCGCCCAGGACCGTGGCCACCTCCAGATAGTGTTCACCCAGTTCCTGGAGGAACTTGCCCTGCTCTTGCGGATCCTGCAGCGCTTGAAGCCCTTGTTTCCGTCCTCTTCTCTTCTGGCAAAAGGGGGCTGAAGCCCATACCACATTGAGCGTGTGGCACTGAAAAAAATAAAGCTGAGCAACCTTTCCGCTCCTGAGTTTGTTTCAGCTAACGCCTCTCCTTGGTTTCTGGCTTTTGTCCTCTGAGGTCTTGGGCGGCTTCCCCTGGGGGACACACACTTAGGGATGGAGGTAGAGGAGGAGCTAGTAAAGGTAACAGCTGGTGGCCATAAGTAGCACACGGGACTGGAGCATTCTCAGCCCATGGACCTGAGGTCAGAGGGGCGAGCATGCCATGCTGCTGGGAGGGGAGCTGGCTTCCATGCCCACTCTTCCTGCCGGCCTCAAAGCAAGGCAGGAGCTACACGCTCCAGGAGCATTGTGAGCATCCTGGCCAGTGCCAATGGCCAGTGCTCTCCTCAAAGACACCCTGCACTGGGGCCATGCACTCCAGGGGGCTGACGACATTGTGGCATGGTCCCTGACCCCAGGGATGTTGCCCAAAGCTTCCTGCCCCATTCAGGAAGATGCCCTTGGTGGGAGGGCAGCTTAGGAAGCGGAAGCCCCCTCCTCACTATTTGTACCTCCCTTGGCTGAGGCTGGATGGGAGGCTCATGATAAGAGGTGTCTCTCTCCAGGGCACTGGGGAGCAAGGGCTCCTTGGCTGAGCTGAGAGGAGGCTCCCAGTCCTCTCCTGCAGAGCCCAGAGGCCCCAGCCACCTAGGTCGTACCCCTTCCGAGAGAACTGCTGCTCAGTGCTCTTGGTTCCAGTGGCTCACCTGTGGAGAATTTTACAAAGTTTTTGTACAAACAACAACCAGAACAACCTATTCTTAAAGGGACCGTGGTGTTTATTTGGGGCAGAGAATGACCTTGGAATGGGAACACGCTTACAGTAATGAACCCGGAGCAAGCTGAGGAGCCTGAATCCAGCGGAAGTTTTCACGGTAAAAATGGGGAGGACTGGATTATAGATTCAGCTGCCGGTGAATGTCCTTGAAGAAACATTGCTCCCTTCTATCAGGTTGTGGTGGCCTTTGTGCCAGGTTGTGTTTCTGTAAAGTTTCATGATGGTTAATAGCAGGCAGATGCACGAGACAACCCTTGTTCAAGCAGTAACAGCCAGCCTTGCTTTTTACATTTTTTTAGAATGATTCTGAGGATCTTACGCTTTAAGTGCCTTCAATACATTTCTTTATTATGGGCTTTGCTGGCCAAGGAAACTACTACTCAGTATAAAATCTTTAAAAACATTATTGACAGTGTACAGTATTAATGTAAAATTTTCTTCTAATGCAAGTTTACTTTGGTGTGGGAAATGGCATGAGTACTCTCTCAAAGGTTCCTGGAGTCCCAGTATCATTTATGAAGTAGCTCATATTTTCCTCAGTCAAGAATGTCAGGCCAGGCATGGTGGTGCAGGCCTGTCATCCCAGCACTCAGGAGGCTGAGGCAAGAGGGTCTTCATGAGTTCGGAGCTAGTCTGGGCTGCAAGGTGAGTTCCAGTATAACTTGAACTGCATAGCAAAACCCTGTCACAAAAAGACAAAAGGACAAAAGAAGAAAAAAAGAGAAAGACAAGAATGTCACATTTAGTGAGACTGTGTCTCAAAATACTGTGTTGCTTACATTGTTCTGATCTGCTTTGTTATGTCCTCTTTTGTCTTAATCTCTTTAAAATAAAATAAAATAAAAATGTGACTGGAGTAGGCGTTTAACTCATGGGAAAGCCATGGGTTCCGTATCCAATACTGGGCAAAGTTGTGTTTAGGGAAGTCGAAGCCCTCATCTTGGTGACGCTGGCACACTGTCCTTCCAGGGAAGTTATGCCAGGGACCCGCTTGGCCTCCCTGAGGAAATGAGCCGCAGCACAGTCAGGAAAGTTGAGGACCCTGGGGGAGAGGACAGGGGAGGAAATCCCACAAGCAAGAGGAGAGTGGTTTGGTGTCACTGGATGACAGGGGACTGATCTGTCACATGGCACGTGAAGGCTCATGTCAGGCAGGAGTAGGGGGAGGCAAACTCCTTTCCCCATCACAGGAAATGTGGCTCATTTGCAGGCTGGAATGATAAAGACAGTTGCTTGGTGAATGTTCCTGAAGAAATAGCTCTTTTCCCTGTCAGGTTTTTTTCTTAATAAAAACATTATTGTCAGGCAAAGTGATACATACAACAGCAAAACAGCTGACAGGCAGCAGGGCAGAGGAAGGAGCCCTCAGCAGGGAGGGAGCAGAAAGAGGTAAAGGGGGCTCTGCCGTGGAAGCCTAGAGAGATGGGGAGATAGAGGTGTTCCCCCCCCCCACCCCCAGGCAGTGGGACTCAGTTCATACTGCGTCCTGACCACCTCGGTGCGGGGCAAATGGTGGGAGCCCAGAGACAGGGGGAGGGGGTGTAGGGAACAGAGTGGTTTGGGATAGCCAAGGAGTGGGGCAGGTGTTCACCACAGGCCTGATGCCATACCATGCCGCCTCAGCCATCCGCCTAGATGGGTCAGGTCAGGGGCAGACACCCTCCAGTGCCCCGCCCCCCACCCGGTGTGACATCTGTTTAAAACCAAAAGGGGAAGCTGCTCTTCCCTCTGGCACTCTCTCCCTGCCTCTCCTCCCAGGAAAGCAAGAACTTATATCCCGGTGCTTGCCTCCTGCTGTGGCCCTAAGGTGTTGGCTGCTTCTGACAGAACTGTGGGCCAGTTGGGGTGTCACCTGCACCCAGCCCCTAGATGCTCCCAGGATGCTTAGGCTAGTCTCTCAAGAGGCTGACCCCTGAGGGTTCCCCCAGCCTCACACAGAAACCTGGAGATCCAGTGTCCTGTGAAGTGCTGGAGGAGGAGCTGTAGAGGCCTTTTCTGGCCCTGCCTGGGCTTCTGCTACTATTTGGCCTTCTTCTTTTAAGTGAAAAAAGATAGAGAAACATCAAAAGGAAACAAGCCAAACAACAACATCAAAAGCAAAACAACACCAGCAACAACAAAAAACAACGGTGACACCCGTGTTTCCAAAGAAGGTGACAGATGTTTAACAGTGGTTGCTATATTGCATATGTCTCTATGAAATACTTGCTCAGGATAGCGGATACAGGAATATAACCAAACAACAGGACGGGACAAAACACTGGGTGTCACAAACAAGGCAGAAGGAAATCCCCACAGTTGCTACAATGCATATTGTGATCCTCCAAATAGATGCGTATACTGCCAGCTTTCGGCCTGCAAAGTCAACCAAACAATAGAAGCATTAAGTCATTTTCTTTAGTTGAGTTGCTATCATCTCAGCCTGAGCCGCTGGGAATCAGCCAGTTGCTTGTGGCAGGGGCCGGGGTGGGGGTTGCTCTTCTTGTCTCCCAGCCCACCTGTCAGGCTGGCTGGCTTGGGAAGGTGTGGTTTGGCTTCGGCTTCTTGATTCCCTTCTCATTCTTCATGGCTCTGCTCTGCCCTCTTGAGGTGAGTCCTTGTGTGAGGAAGCTGGGCAGAGGAGTCTTGGAGGGCGGGGTTTCTTTTGAAAGGGAGAGGAAATTCAGGGCTGCAGTAGTGCGTTGGGGAGGCACACTGCCCACCTCCTGATCCCGAGCTATGCTGGTTCTGAAAGAAAAGGACAGTCTCCCCTGGAGAGGGCTGTGAGAGGGCAGTGTTTTTGGTGACCGTTACAGATTCTATCAGGGGTGTTTCCCAAAGTCCTCATGTTCCCACAGCCCGGGCTTTCCTCATGGGGGTGATATTGCTACCTTATTGTTGGGAAGTGGGGTCTAGTTGGCGGAGGGGGGGGGGCAGATTACTAGGGATGTGACCTGGAAGGGTGTGTCTCTCTTCCCAGCACCTCAATTCTCTCTTCTTCCTGGCCAACATAATGTGAGCAGGTTTCCTCTGCCCAGGGCCTTCCACCATACCATTTCTGCCTTGGAGTCAGCCAACTACAGATCCTAACGTGAGCCACAACAAACTTCTCGTCCTTTAAGTTGTGAGTGTCAGGAACTGTGCTTGGACAATGAGAGAAGAAAGAGACTAGAACAGATTTTGGTGCCAAGAGCGAGGTTTTACTTTAGAGGCCTCTGGACCTGGTTTGCAGGAGGGGTTTGGAAAGGTTTGGAGATTCCAGCTGGAGAAGCCTCTAAAGTGCTATGAACTGAGCTCAGTGGGAGATTCTGGTTGGCACTCAGACCAGAATGTGGAGACAAATGCAGATCGTAAAGGCCAGGCTCAGGCAGTTTCAGCGGGGAACAGGAACGCCATGGGCAGTCGGGCGCGAGCCTGTGTGTATTATGCTCTAGCACAAAAAGTGCCTGCATTTTGATAACGTCCAGAGACTTTGAGGGAGACTGAGATTAAGTGCAGCGGACAAATTAATCTGGCAGAAGAAATGTCAAGGCAGCCCATCATTCAAGCTCTGAAATGGATAGTGTTGCGGGCTTTAGCCAGCTGTGTATTGGGAGTCAAAAGCAAACAGCATAGCCCAGTGACTTTAAAAGTCTTGATTGTCGACAGAAAGGTGCTCTCATGTCGGTGGGGCCTCTAAGGGTTTGGTCAAGGAGGGCCTGCTTGCTCAAAAGATTAGCATTAAAAAGAAGCCAGGTAGTTTATGTCAGGAAAGTAGAAAAGATGACTTGATGATATCTGAGAAGTCGGTCACGTCTCATCCTTCACAGGCTAAGAGGTCCAAAAGACTTGTTTTGAGAAGAGAGGCTCAGACAGCCCTTCCCCAAAAGGACCACCCAGGGAACTGGTTTCCCAAGATTCAGTTCATAGTGCTCAGCCATCTAGGCACTGAGAGATCTCTGCAGCCACAGTAAAAGTAACAGTGGGGCCTGGCTACTGTCCCAAAGCTTAGCATCACCCTTGTAGTGCTGCTTTTACAGGCATGTAAAATGCAGTAGTTGTGGGTTCAAGGAGGCTTTCGCCCAGCCTTCAGAACACAGCCCAAGAGGCCAAGCAGTGTGCCTCGAAGAAAGTAGTGTGCAAGGCTGTGAGAGTGAAACCAAAAGTGCAGAGAAGACGTTAGGAAGTTGGAGAAACCAGGGACACGGAATGTCTGAGGAAAGCCACAAGAGAGTGAGCAAAGCAGACCCAAGAGCTTGGCCTTGAGAGCCGCAGCTAGCAATCCCCTGTGGGCGGGGCTGCCCAAGTTGGTTTTCACATCTTATTACCACCCATCCCAGGTGCTGGAAATGGAGTTATGGGATTAAACGTTTACCCTGCTGGGTTTCAGTCTTGCCTTGGTCCTGCTCCTTCTTATTTCCCTCTTCCTCCCTGCTGGAGTGGGAATACTTACTGGGTTCCATTGGATTTTGAATGTGTTTAACTGTCTTTTATATTTCCCGGAGGGGCTCACAGGTAAAAGTTTGGCTTGAGTACCAGAGGAGACTTTGGTCTTGGACTTTTGAGCAATGCTGAAACCGTTAAGACTTGTAACCCTCAGAGATGCCTAAATGCATCTGGCACACTGAGATGGCCATGAGACTTTGAGGGGGCCAGGAGGCAGAATGTTCTGGGATAGATCAAGAATGCCTCCCAAAGGCCTCAGAAGCTCATAGGAGGGCTTTTGGAAGGCACTTGAATCTTGGGAGCGCTGTAGCTGACTTGCAGCTGGGAGGCGGCTTCCTTGGAGGAGGAGGCACCATCCAGAAGGGTGTGTATCTCCCTTCCTGGCTCAGCTTCCTGGCCACCATGAGGTGAGCAGTTTCACCTCGCCCCGCCCCTTCCACCACGCTGTGTCTGCCTTTCAGCTAGTGGGCCAGGGACCCTGAACATGAGCTAAAGAAAACCTCTCCTCCTTTAATTTGTGTAAGGTATGGGGTGTTCTCTAACACGGCTGAGCAGAGAAAAGGGACTAAGGAAGGGACGGAGCCAAGCATCCACAAGGGTGCGGGGTAGAGTGATGCCCTGTGATGAGAGGGTCACACACAATAGGTTTCAGCAGGCTCAGCAAAAGCATTGGGGTGGGACGGGAGCGCTCTGGGGGGGCTGGCTGAGCTAGGGGAAGGATCCTCAGGGCTGGCTGTTCAGCGCTTTGACCTTGGGTTCTGCTTCCCGTCTCAACGTGTGCCCAAGAAATGTCCTTCTCTGCTGCCACCCAGTGAAGCCAGGCTCTTGTGAGACACAGTCACGGGCTAAGAAAGACCTTCCTTGCAGCAGCTGGCAGGTGGGAAGATGGAACTTCAGTCCTAAAAGCAAAACACAGAAAGACACAGAAATGCCACCTTGCTTGGGATTTTCAGGAACCAGGCTTGCAGAGGGATGCTGGGCAGGGATAGCAGACAGCCGGGCCCCAAGATAGTTACCAATTTGTTGGGGGCCGCTTGGCTGATGTGCGCGAGGTGCTGTTCTCTGAAGGTCACCAGATGTCCCAGTTTCTGTAAATCTGGAAAAATTTGTTACTAAATAGCAAGCTTTGTGGGTCTTGTTTTTGTTTCTTTCTCCGGGAATACTCAACCTTGCAGCTATGCACTGAGCTACAAAGGCTTGTTTTCCCAGAAAACAGAGGAAGATGGTGGAAGACACCTTTTACCCTAGGGGAGTTTGTAACGCACTGGGCAGTTTCCATCAGAGGTGTCATCCACAGTGAAGATGGGGTGGGGGGACATGGACGTTACACAGGCATGGGGTCCTCCAGATTTAGTGGGTTGCCAAGTCCACTCAAAGCACTTGAAGCTGGAGGGCTGTTTAGGGTTTGCCTCCGTCACAAATAAGGGTCTTAAACACACATGAATATCTGATTTCATAGGGCCTCATTGTATCTGTTGGGTGGCTGCTACATCCTTGGCTATCATGGATTGTGATGAATTTCATCAAGAGATTTCACAAGATCGATCATTCCTGTATTCCTGTGCTACTCTCCTGGAGCCAAGTCTGGGCTTGGCGATAGCAGCTTCTGCTTCTGAGCAAGGCTGCCACGTCTTTTCTGTCCCTTCGTGTCGGAAGGGACTGTCCAGCACACCCGCCTGGCTAATTTCCAGTTCATGCTGTATGTCCTCCACCTCTACTCTCTTGGGGACATTTTGGGTGGCACTAGGGATCCCACCCAGCGCCTTGGTGCCGAACTCTACCTCCAGCCCTATTTTTAAGTATATAGTTCACAACCTGGTCTTGCCTAGTCAGGCATTATCCAGGCTGTGCTCAAATTCCCAATTCTGCTACCTCAGTCTCCCAGATGCTGCTGGCATTACAGCTGTGTGCCACCATGACTGAACAAAGGCACGTGTCTTATGTCGATTGACTCCTACTGTGGTTAACGTTGACATCCGTGGGGCTGCTGGGGGCCGGCCTACTAGTGTGACTGGGAGAGGACAAAAGGGAAGGTAGTGCTCTGGGTGCAGGTGGAGGCGGGCACTGCCTGGGAGCCTCTTCAGGGCACACCAAGGCGAAGGGAGGTGAAGGGACGCGGCCGGGCCCGGTGAGTGGCGAGGCCCTCCCAACGACGAGATCGTTATTCAGAGCCCACACGGAACAGGGCGCTGAGCACAGCAAAGAGCAAACAGAAGAAGCACAGCCTGTGGTGTCTGGGAATCCCTATTTTGCTCTAAAAGTTACGAGATTGGAAGCGGGTGGAGGAGAGGCAGCGTCAGAAGACTCCGCTCTCAGGAAGGACGCCTTCAGCCCCGGCACCTCCTCGTCTTCTTGCCCATGGAGGCGTCTTCATGTTCTCGCCGTCTTTGTCCTGTCTGCCTTTTCTCGCCTTTGCAGCCAGGAGCGCTGCGCTGTACATATTTACACCACGTTTCTGCTGACTGCTGTGGGTCACGGCTCTCTCTGGATCTCTCCTCTCTTCTCCCTTCCCTTCCCCTGCAGTGCGTTTCCGCCCCTCGCCCTCTTCCTCACTCCCATCTCTGCTGTCTCCCGGTTTCTTCGTGCCACCTTGGCGAGGAGGTGCTCAGCGCTAAGGGAAGAGGTGGCTGGAGGGACTTCTCAGGGTTGGGTCCTCTGGGTACCTAACTGGATGTCCATTTGTGGCGCGGTGCGCTGTGTCTGCCTCTGTCGAGTCTCGCTCTCTGCAGGGCGTGTGGACACACAGGGTCATCCCCCAGGTGAAGATGGCAGGCACCTCCGGTCCAACCAAGAGCCACCGCTTTGTTACCAGGGGCGGGAAGGAGGCCAGGAGGCAAACACCCGGGGGCTGGGGCAGTAGAGGGCCCGGCTGCTGGGATGGACCCCAACAGCGGAAGGCTCCTCTCTGCTTGTTGCAGATGCTCATCAGAAGGGGGCAGGGCAGACAGTGGGCCTGGGCCACCATTCTGCTTCTCCCCTTCAATGCCACACTGAGTCCCTGCTTCCCTCTCCAGGACGGCTCAACGCATGACAGAGTCACATGTTGCGGAAGGAGCCGGCGTCCCGGGCACATCCCCAGGGTGGGCACCGCCAGGTAGCCGCAACCCCCTCAGGAGCTGGGGGAGGGTGGTCTGGGCTGGGGCTGGACTTGGCAGGAGCCATCTCTTCCTCCAGATCTCAGTGGGAGGGGAGGGGCGTGGTTAGGGGCAGGGGTGGTGGTCGAGGGGTGGGAGAGTGGTTGGGGACTGGGGTGATGGGCCAGCACGGCGCCAAAGGCCCGGCTGCCTCTGTGGGCATCGCGGGTCCCGTGGCTGCCCAAGGTGTCCTGGTCCCAGGCAGGACTTGTCCCCCTGACACGCCTCACTTGGCCCCAGGGCTCTGCAGGGCCCCACAGACTTCCTTGGCATAGGGCCGGGTACCTGGACCCCGTTAGTGTCCCTGAGAAGTAAGGGGGTCTCTGGGACTCGGGGCTGGGCCAGCTTGTAAGGGACCAGACTGGGGGTTCATTGATGCAAGCAAGGGCAGCATGTTGCCTGGCAACACAAGAGGCGTGCAGGCGGCCAGACCAGCTGGCTTGGCGGGAAACACCAAGGTGTGAGCGTGCTTGCGCAGGCGCCACAGCTTTCTCGCGGTGCATTGTGGGTGGGAAGGGGCGGAGCTTCACCCAGGTGTTGCTTCTTTCTCTTCTTTTGAACGTGAAATGAATAAACAGCGGTTCTTGCGTTGAGTAACTGTGGTTTCATTCATTTAGCCGCTTGGATGACCCGAGGCCGCTTTCCCTCCAGGGAGAAACGCCTGTCTTGTTGCCATGGCCTTGGCTCCTGGCTGAATACCCAGCAGATCGTATTTTGGCAAGGAAGCAGGACAATGAGCACTTGGTGAATGAGAATCCGAAGGTGGAGGAAGGAATGAGGAGAATGAGGGTCCACAGGCGACCACTCTTGTCCTCAGTGCTCCAGACATTGGCCTAGAAATGTAGGTTAATTTAGCTGGGGGACCAGACTTTTGACCGATTCTTCCTCCCCGCCCCAGGGAAGCGTGGCATGAGCCTTTGTTCTTGGGCTCCTAGATGACACTGTCAGGCCAGAGCACTGCTGTTCCCTAACCCCCAGTGGCTTCTCCACACTCCTCAGAGCCCAAAGTGGAGCCCGTAAAGTGGGTCTGTGGGGAGGGCGACAGGGTGCAGGAGGGCGATTGTAATGGCCACAGAGAGGCCCTTTAATGTTAGGTCTCCACAGGGTGCTTGGGGACAAGGACCTATTCTCATTCAGTTTTCCTTTTCTCTCACTCTTAGGCGATGGACTGTGCAAAACCCTGGCCACCTCCACGCAGTGTTCACCTCCTTCCATGCTGACCTTTCCCTCGTCTTCCACATCATGCAGCTCTTGGGGCCTCAGTATCCCTTCGTTCCTTAGGAGGGAGGGGGGCTGAGGCCTGCTGTCCCCTGCCAGCATCACAGCCTTCCCTAGGTCTCGGGTTCTCGGGTTCATTGCCATCCTCTCGGACCCCAGTGTTTTCTGCTTCTGCTGGCTAATCGGTGGGGACCCGAGGCCCACTGGCTCTGTCGCCCTGCTGGTGCACGGGCGCAGTGATTAAATGTGTGTCTCTGCAAAAACGAAAGCTGAGCCACGATGCCCTCTTCGAGTTTATTTTCCCTACACCATCTGTTTTCTAGCTCTTGTCCCCGAGGAGGCTCCCATGGGGGACGCATTTACAGACTGAGCCGGAGGTAGTGTGAGTGCACTCGACCAACAGCTGGCTGTAGACAGCACAGAGGTCGTGCGGTTCCCAGGCACTGGGTATGTGGGCAGGATGGCGCAGATATCCTGCTGCTGGGCTCAGGCCTTGGTCCTGTCACTCTGTCCCCCATGTTTCTCGCCTCTATTCAAGCCCACTTTCCTTTTGTGGTTCCCGAATCCTGGGTTCCCGGGGCACCTCGCAGTCTCTGCAGGAAGGAGGGTCACACAGGGCCCAGTGAAAGCAGGAGCAGCAGCCTGGTCAGAGGTCCCAGTGGCCCGGTTGGTGCCTGACATCCCTCGCTTTGGTGTGGGGCAGAGCACATTGGATCAGGAACCATGGGGCGTGGATACCAGAGAGCTCACCCCACCAAGGAGAAGAGAAACAGGGCGGGGCGGCGAGACTGGACAGACTCCTCTGAGGAACTGCAGACAGCACTGGAGGGGGCAGAGAGGTACTGCTGCCTCTGGACCGGAGTCCGTGGACCCCAGGATGGCTGGTCCCGGCTTGCTGGTCAGGGCCAACTACACTGAGGAATTGAGGCAGCAGAGGGGTGGGGTGGGGCTAGGGGGTGTGATGGGTGTGGCCTCAGAGGCCAGGCAGGGCTCACCCTGTGCAGAGCAGGGACTGGTGCTGTTGCTGCTGCTGCTGCTGCTGCTGCTGCTGCTGCTGCTGCCACGGCTGCTGAGGTGGAGGCCTTGGCCCTGCTGCCACCCAGCGGCCCCCTCCAAGGTCCAAAGTCAGGGCCCTGGTGGGCTGGGGCACCGTGCCAGAGCCACTGCCCGGTGGCATCCTCTGCCACACCCTGCGGGGCTGCATCCTGGGCACACGGGCAGGGAACCCAGACCAAATTCCCTGAAGGGAGGTCAGCACAGGAGCTGAGGTGGAGCTGCCCCAGCTGGGCTCCAGAGGGGGGATCCACCTCCTCCAGTGCGCCTGGGACCACTTCGGCAGAGGCCCATGGCCAGGAGGCTTGGGCAGGCAGGGCCCGTTCTGCAGCTTTGGCGGAGCCCTTCTATACCCTTGGCCCATGGGGGGTCCAGGGGCTGCCAGTGGGCCCGGCCACGGAGCTCCCCACGCCCGCCCTGGGACACGGTGCAGCCCGAGCTCCCGCCACAGGAGCACACCTTTTGGGGGGCAGAGACCCACGTGGCCGAGGGAGGATGTGTCCAGGGTGGGCACTGCCAGGGAGCCACACCCCGACTGGGTTCCCGGGCCTAAAGCATGTGGGGCTGGGCTCAGGCTTAGCCGGGCTGTGCAGGGCCCGGCGGGCCTAGTTCGGCCAGAGCCACCTCCTCCTGCAGAACTTGGTGGGGGGCAATGGGGGTACAGATGGGACGAGCAAGTACTGCGCCCATGGCCGTGATGCCTAGAGTGGGCACCGCCAGCGAGCCGCACCCGCGATGGGGATCCCGGGCCTGGAGCTCGTGGGGTGGGGCGGAGCTTGGCTGGAGCCACCTCCTCCCCCAGAACTCCATGTGGGGATGAGGGGGATGGCCCAGCACAGCGCCCAGGGCCGGGCTACCTCTGTAGGCCTCAGGGTCCCAGCAGCTTGGCTAGCTGTCCAGATCCCAGGCAGGGCGTGTCCCCGCGCCTCCCCGTCCCTCCCCCCACCCCCCGGCCCCCTCGGGGGGCTTGGAGGGCCCTACAGACTTTCCGGGTACAGAACCAGGTCCTTGGACCCCTCAGTGCCCCTATGACGGAAGGAGGTCTCTGGGACTCCGGCCGGGGGCAGGGGATCGGACCCCGGGGGCCCATTGGCCCAAGGGTATTGCATGAGGGTGGAGACAGCCGCTCTGATCAGGGCTCAGTGAGGTTGCTCCCCCACCCCAGTGGGGTGGCAAACAACAAGCCTTTGTGGGGGAGAACTACTTGGCGGGAAACAGCCTGCACGAGGTCCAGTCTGCGCAGGCGCAGTGGCTGAACTGTGGTGCATTGTGGGTGGGAAGGGGGCGGAGCTTCGTAGCCACGTCCTCGTGGAGGAGCACCTGGAGGCGGCCTCCAAAGGGCTGACAGAGGACAGACGGCCATGCAGAAGGCTGAAGCCGGGGCGGGTGGAGTGGTGGGCCACGAAGATGACCGGGATGGCCGGGCAATCCCTGATGACCCGTGTGGCGCCCGAAACCAGGAAGCTGCGCAAGAGCAGGATGTCGCGGGCCCGGCAGGTGCGCCTGAAGACGAGGGCCTACCCGCTCCCGTCCGTGTGCCCGTTATGCTGGTACCTTATGGCCCGTGGCCGGGTTGGCAGGCTGAGCTTGTCATCAGCAGGCCGTCCATGGGCCTGCACGAATTGTATCCTTCGGGACGGGACGTGGCGCCATGGCCCGGGGGGTCTGGGGGCGCAGGCAGGCATCGGGAGCGGGCGGGACTCGGGGAGGGCAGGGGGAAGGGACAGAGGGCAGGAGAGGGTAGGCTGGGGCCTGGGCCAGGCCAGAGCCCCAGCCAGAGCCCCAGCCGCGCAGGGGCCCAAGGTGGCCTGCGGGGGACGGGACCGGGGCTGGGGTCCCGGGGGAAGGGGGCAAAGGAAAGGAGCCAGGTGGGGTGAGGACGGCCCGAGAGCTTCCCGGGCCTAGACAGGACGGGACTGGACGGGACTGGACAGGACGGGAAGTACTGGACGGAGGGCCTGCCAGCCGGGCCGCATTGGATACATCATCCCGCCTTAACCTGGCTCCTCAGCACCCTCAGCGTGCCCTTCCTGACTCCCACAGCAGCGGAGGTCGGCCAGAGATTCCTGGCGTCTTTTAAGGAATACTCAGATATTGAGAGCCAGCTGACTGTGAATGGCAGCTGCGTAGTTGTGTCAGTCCTACAAGGGGTTGGGCTTCTGGGGAGGGAAGAGTGGCACTGTATGGGGCACAGAGGGGCATTGTATGGATGCAGGGTGGCAACTAAATGTTGGGTCTAAGCAGAGGGTCAGGTCACGATTACCTAGGTTAAGCGTCCTGACTTGACTTTTGCTTTCTCTCCACTTAGGAAATGGATCGCCCAGGACTTTGACCGTCTCTACACAGAGTTCACCTCCTTCCTTGATGTCCTGTTCCTCATATTCCAGATGATGGAGCGCTTGGGGCCCCAGTTTTCGGCTGGGTGTTGATAGGAAAAGGAAGCTCAAGGCCATGTGTCCCTTAGCAGACCGTGCGCATCTTTCCCTAGGCCCTCGGTTCCTGAATTAATTGCTACGTTCTGTGTAGATCATTTCTTTTCCTGCCTTTGCTAGTCAGTCACTGGGTGCCGGGGGCCCACTTGTTTTGTGTCCCTGTGGCAGGACAGGAGACGCCATTAAGCGTGTGGCACTGAAAAAATAAAGCTGAGCAACCATTCTGCGCCTGAGTTTGTTTCAGCTAAAGCCTCTCCTTGGTTTCTGGCTTTTGTCCTCTGAGGTCTTGGGCGGCTTCCCCTGGGGGACACATACTTAGGGATGGAGTTAGAGGAGACGCTAGGAAAGGCAACAGCTGGTGGCTGTAGGTAGCACAGAGGATGGGAACATTCACAGCCCATGGACCCGAGGTCAGAGGGGCGAGCATGCCATGCTGCTGGGAGGGGAGCTCGCTTCCATGCCCACTCTTCCTGCAGGCCTCCAAGCAAGGCACAGAGCAAGGGGCCCCAGGAGCACTGGGCCGTGCCCGGGGCCCCAGGCTGAAGCCAGATTCTGCCCGGGGTGGGAGGAAAGCTCAGGATGCAGAATTGCTGTCCTGCCTGATTCCAACCTTCTCGGCTGATGCTGGGTGTGAGACCCATGATTGCTCCAGATCATGGTGCCACTCAGGCTTTGGATAGGAGGCCTCTCTCTCCTGGGCCCTGTGGGGCTAGGGAAAAGGGTGCCCTGGACGGGGCAGTGAGAGGAGGATCTGGTTTTTCAGTGGAGAGCACCTCAACCTCGGCACATGCCTCAGCTCCTCCTCCTCCCCCAGCCCTCGGCCTCTGCTCATTGCTCATGGCTCCCCTCTGTTACCTTTGAAAAAAATTTCAACACCTTGTGCTTCCAAGCAGCAGCCAGAGGGAGAGATTCTTTCAGGGTGCCTGGCATTGATGGGAGGAGAGCCTGGCCTTGCAAGGAGAATACACGTGCCTTGGTGAACTAGGAGCGCGGCTGTGGAGTTGAATGATGGGAAATTTTAAGGAAAAAGCGGGGAGAAACACATGAGATAGTTTGAGATCCAGTAAGCCCAGGTGCCAGATGCCATAACGAGGTTACACTCCTCAGAAGCTGAAACGGCAGCTGCTGGGCAGGTGTCCATGCAGACGTGTTGCTTCTTTCAGGTCCTGGTGGTCTTGGTGTGACTTTGTGCTTCTGCAAAGGGTCTTGTGATGGTGACTCTTGGGCAGCCTCCGAATGACAGCCTTTGCCTCGGTACCTTCCGCCTTCTTTATTCACATTCTTGCAGGATCCTCTTGACTGTCTGGCACCACGTGCATTTAACAGGTACATGTTATGGTGGAGAAGGTGGACTGTATGCCCTCTGGAAAGTACTACCCACTGTAAAATCATTAAACTATTTACTGACAGAGTAATTTGGCACTTTAAAATTATCTGCTGCTGGAAATCTACTTTGGTGTGAGAAATGACTTGAATCAACTGCTCAAAGGTTTCTCGATTCCCAGCCTCATTTCTCATTCCCATGCCTCAATAAGGCATGTTTTAGACCCAGAGTAGAGAAAATCGTGATTAGGAAATCCCTGTGTCACAAGGAAACATACTCTGCTGCTTTTTCTGGCTTCTATTATTCCAGTGCCTGAGCTAGCTATGATGAAGTTTTGGATCGTTCCAGCACTGAGGTGATGTCTTGTTTTGTCAGTTTGTTTGATGTTTGTTCTTTGTTTGCTGAGACAGGCTCTTGCTATGTACTTCAGGCTGGCCTTGAACTCACTACGTAGCCCAG